CAATACAAGTAAAATTGGCTCAAGTTGGGTATTACTATCTCTAGGTTTAATCCTTTAATTGGGGCTATCAATCTCTTGAATGCACCCCAATTCCTTGTTAGCCTAATTTTCCTAGACTTAATCCCTCCTTTTTAAGAAAAGTCTAAGTCATAAAGGCATGAATCAGTATTTGCAACCACTAATTCTACAATTAAAGCATGAATAAAGCTAAATATCACTTACCCATAAACAATTAAGCTCTAAAATTGAAGTCTCATTAAATACTCATACTAGGGTTGGATCACAACCCTAGATAATGGGTTTAGCTACTCATAATCAAGGTAGAAATCAAAGATGAAGATGAAATATAAGCCATAATAGTTCATTACAAGAATAAAACCTAAGAATATAAGCTAAAGCTACTCTAAAATTAATCAAAGTGGTAAAGTACGGCTGTTCACGAGCTCCATGATACAAAAGATAACCTAAAAATGTGAAAAAGATCTATTTATATAAAGCTGAAATTACTGGACAAAAATACCCCTACGGAGGTTCCGCTATCAGCGAAATAATGGGCGTCTCAGCGCATTGACTTTCGCAGTCGCGAACCACATTTCTTCTCTTTTGTGGTTGGTCTGGACTTGATTTTGTAGGAGCGTAAAAATTACCGCCTCAGCGTTAGCATCAACCGCAATTGCGCAACTTGGACGCGGACCGCGCTCCTCAGTTAGGTTCACTTTGCAGGGTCTCTGAACCTTGATCGACGCTCTCAGTGTCTGCATCAGGTATTCTGCTGCCGCGCTATTTCATCGTGGTCAGCGCTTTTATCTTAGCTTTGAACTTGTGCAAATTTAACTCCTTCCTGAGTTGGTTATGGCTTTCTTTCCTCATTTTGACCAAACCCTCCAAACAAGCACAATAAGTCAGTTTTCGGGAATACTTTTATACATTTTTTATCCAAAACCTAAGCAAAAGAGAGCATAAGATAGACTAGAATCCGTAGTTATCAAGAGTCACCCCCACATTTCGTCTCCTCTCTTACCCATTCGAGTTCTAGTTCTTAAAAGAGTCGCAAAGCATCAACTCCCAAAAGAAATGTCGCCCAGAGTTCTTCTCTTACCTTGCCAGAAAAGGGGGATGAAACCAGTATTTTTGAGAATGAAGAAAATCAAGAAATCTCGAGTTCTCCTTTAGAAAAAGGGTCAAAGGTAGATCAAATTGAGGGGAACGAAATCGTCGACTCAATAAAGACTACTCCTAATCCCGTGCCCACAGGTAACATTCCTACTTCTCCCGAGTTTCACATGGGCCTACAAGAAAAAGAAGCCATAGAAAAAATGTTGTCCATCGCCAAGAAAGGGGTTTTTGTCGGATGAAGTAAGGATGGTTTTAAGACTCAAGGGAAGAGTCTAAGCTTGTTGGAGAAGGTAATGAGCTTGTGGCTATTGAACCTTCGGCACAGGAAGGTGCTACTGGGGAACCTGCTGGAGGACCTGATCCTCCTTTGGAGGATCCAACTCAGGGTCTCTCTCAGGAACCCCAGGTCAGTGCTGACCCTGGTCCCTCTCCTCATTTATATGTTGAGCCTCTGAGTGTGGTTGTGCCTGAGATAAGATCTGTGTCTGAAGAACAAAAGAATGATAGTGAAGCATATTTTGATGATTTACCAATTGCCAGTCTGCTTAGTCGTAGATTGGTTGTTGATGAAGAGCCAACTCCTAAGCGACCCTCAACAAGGTTGCAAAAGAAGGAGGCTCTTGAGTCTGCGCTTAAGAATAGTCAAGCTAAGTCAAAGAGAAGAAAATTAATGAAAGATGGCAAAGTTGTAAATGAGAAGATAGTGCTTGTTATGAATGTGGATGAGGAATAAGCCGAGGAACCTAGTACTTTGACTAGGAAGTTATCACAGAAGCATGGTCTCTCCTCAAGCCAAAAGGGGGATCCTCTGTATCTGCTAAAAGTCTGACTAAGTCTGATGATGTTGTTGCTACTAAGAATGTGCTGAACGAATTAGGTGAAAAATCTATAAAGTCTGATAAAAAGGAGAAGAGTGTTCGCAAGACTGCCAAGAGAAAGGCTAAAACTGATGAGGAACTTGGTTCCTCAAAGAAGGTAGAGTTGGTAATCCGGGTAGTGCTGAGAAAGAGAGATTGAGAAGTCAAAAGGTGTTGTAGGAATGCACATTTGCCCTTGATGTCTTGGAGGAGGCTGGTATGTGATAGCTGGTTAAGATCTGTGAGTTCCAATAATGGACACACTTGTTCACAAGTGATGCTGCTAAGGTATATGAGGAGGAAGTTCAAAGTTTTTATGCCTACTTTTTCAAAGTTGAGGATGGCCATATTTGTGCCTTGGTGAATGGAGTTGATATGGTAATGGACTCTGCCTTGTTAGGATCTATTCTTGGTGTGCCCTCTGAAGGGATATCTAGTGTTCATGGAGCTTGTACCCAAAATTTCAAAAATGCAATCTTGAAGGACAAAGCAGTTCAGCAGGGGGAACAAGTTCGGAAGAAGGTCATTTTTCCTGTATACCAACTGTTATTTGAGATAGTGAACAAAGTATTGCTGCCTCAAGCTGAGAGAAGATCTATCACTTCTCGCACATACATGTTCCTCATGGAAGCACTGGACAACTTCACTACCATCAATCTGCCTGCGATCATGATAGAGCACATAAATAAAGTGGCAAAACTTAAAGATGGAAATCATGGGCTACCATATGGGTTCCTTCTCACCAAGGTCTTTGAGCACTTCAAGGTTTCTCTCGGACCAGCTAAAGTGGGCTCTAAGAAGCAAACTATTTCCAAAGTCACGCTTGAAGAATGTGAGTGTATAGAGAAAGTTGGAGGGGTTGGAAACACTTCTACCATATCTCAGTTGATAAATGCACAAAACATTGCTACTGCTGAGATAAGGCAATTGAAAGCAAGAAATACTATCCTTGAGACTCAGTTAAGTAAGCTACAAGAGACACTTGGTTCCCATAGCTCTCAAAGCAAAGAGGTTGCTCGCCTGACAAAGGAGAACGCTGAACTCAGTAAACAAGTAGAGGACCTAAAAGAGAGACTGCTCAGTGAGCAAATGTCAGCCAATGCTCGAATGAATTTAGTCATCCAGACCATTTCCTCTGCCTCCAAGCCTTCTCCTTCCAGTGCTCCTTAAATATTGTCCCCTCTGTGTCAAGTCTATAATCTAGTTTGTCTAATCTAGTTTGTGGTCAAGTCCCTCAGTGTCAGTTCTTATGATGAAAATTTATTGTATTTTTGTTGATTGTTCTGAATTGTGGATGTGTTAGTAACATTGACTCTGCTGCTGCTGTAAAATCCAAACTATGTTAATGCAAGCTATTCCCATTTTGTTGTTTATCACTTGCTTTTATGCTCTGTTTTTAGTCATGACTGTGTGCACATAAGTGGCATGAGTTAACTTAAAGCTACACTTCCTTCTTGCTTAAATGCCTATTACTACTCTTTTTATGATGCCAAAAAGGGGAAGAATAATTGCATTGTGACTTGCACTAATTAAGGGGGAATGCAGAGATTCAGGGGGAAACTTAAGGTCTTTCTGGTTCGTTGTCTGGTTCTATGTGGCTATTTATGTGATTTTCAATTATGAGTTTGTCATCATCAAAAAGGGGAAAATTGATAGGTTTACAAGTACTTTGTTCTATAGGTCATAAGTGCTTTATTTTATGTTTTGATGATCTAACAAACTTACTATCCAGAACCAGATAAGAAATCTGTTACACATTCACAATACCGTAAGATCACAAGGTTCCAGGTTGGTATCTAGCTTGGGATATGGCTCAACTCTTCAGAATCGAAGTAACGGCTAAGGGACAGGTCCCTACCAGTTCCTGAGATGACTGTACAAAGTCAACTCTCTAGCTGGAAAGTTGCTGCTTGCACACGCTACTCTACAGAAACAGTGTAGCAGTTAACTTTCTGTGGAAGGCTTTTTGCCTACTTTGCTTACATCATTGTAAGTGATGTCACACATGTATTATTAACGTCAAGGAAGGTAAAACAATGACTTGAACATTTAGAGATTTTACTCAATCTCTATCACGTGATCATCTAGCAAGCAAGTCACAAGTGCTTCAAGAACAAAGAACAAAACAACTACGCACCAGTTTCTATATCAAGTTATTGTATGTCCTTAGTTGAGTTGTAACTTTGTAATAGTTCTTCAAGTGTAACTCCTACTTAGCTTACATAGAAGCAGTGAGTAGGAAACCCTTTTGTAAATCTTAAACCCGTGTGTGTTTGAGTCTTGGCTAAAGTTAGTCGAGTTGTAAAGTCTTTGTAATAGAGTTATTACAAAGTGGCTTGTAATAGAGTATTACAAGTTAGTGGGGAATTAAGAGATTAATTCCTAGGTTGCATAGGTTGTAATATAAAAGTTGCTTAGTAGTGAAGTTAAAATCCTACAAGGGTAGGTTGTGGTTTTTAATCCCGTTGAGCTGGGAATTTTCCACGTAAAATTTCGCTTGTCATTTACTTACTGATGTGTGCGTATATTCTAGTGGAACTGATAGATAATCTGGTTCTTTATAGAGTTTGGTGGACCCTTATATTCTATCAAAACTCTTCATGAAAGTAGTTTCAATCATCTCTTTACTTTGCACCATATTTCAAAAAAGTTGTAAGTGCTCCTTTTCACAAGGCTATAAAGATACTCACTTTTTATCAAGAAAGTTAAGTCAGAACTTAAAAATACTTAAAGTTGGTAAAGTTAGAAGAAACCCACTACAGTAAATAATTAAAGTGGTAAATTAGAAATACTCATTATTTCAAAATATATTGTACTAAGTCATGCAACTTGTTGTTAACACTAAGTGTCTCAGTATTGATTTATATATACTGGAAATTTGGTAAACTAATAAAATATGATTATGTTGGATTTTGTATATAGGGGTTTTTAAAATATCTTTCTTCCATGACTCTATGTGCTCCTTTCACGTTTTCTTCTTGAACCATGAAGAAATAAAACGTTATTGGACTGCACTGAGAAGCAGTGTAATTACATCACACCAATTGATTTCAATTTCAAATAAGCTCAGAATATTAATTGACTAGTATTGGGAATGACTAAAGCTTGTGAAAAACTTCCCCTGTGCACAATTGTTTCAATCTGTCCCCTGAAAGTTAAATAGGAAATACTGTTGAAGATAGTACACAAAATTTGGAGAAGCCTCTACTACCAACTGGAGTCACAATTCGGTCCAAAATGGTAACTGTCTTTGCATCAAAGTATCCCATGTCCGTGGCTTCCGATGAAATGGCTTTATTACCTCTACCATTACACCAGCAGTCGATAATAAAGGCGCCTCGCCCACTAGAATATGAACATTCACGTTGTAGAGGGTCTGTTTTTGCTGCTCTACATTTCTCCCTCTTATGCAAAAGAAACTGATTAGACCAATCAAATACTTCACTTTCCTGAAGAGAATGAACAGTTGTCTTTATCCACCATTTTGTATCTTCCACTACACCCTGTAATGAAGAGTATCATAATATATGAGGATTAAGATATAAGTCTGGTTTATTGAACAAAGCAAACAAAACTTTTGAATCATTTGATGCATAGGGACTAACTCAGTAGAGGTAAGGTAAGCGATTAAAAACAATGCAAATCAAAGGACCTAGGAGATTAACAACTTGGAAGAAGCTTACATGGAAATCTTGGTCCAATAAGAGTAGAGAATCCTTCAACCAAATGGATGAATATCCCTCAAACTGTGTAATCCATTCAAGTCCCAGGTCTTTCCTAAGGGAGACTGCTAGAATAGCATCCCTGGTAAGTAGTATAGCATTTTCATGAGAATAGGAGTTGAAAAATAAAATAAAAATCGACGAAATTGTTCTTAAGCATTCTTCAACACAACATGAGAGCAAGGTGCAGCTAATAGTGCACACAAAATTTGTCTTTTTACCACAGTAACCTCCTAGCTGCATCCATTCAAACTATCTACATTTAGCGCCATCAGTGAGAATTATTTGAGCTGCAACTCATGAACAGATTTCAACGGCACCGATAATCCACAACCTTTATTATCTTCACCATAGCACCTGAATAGATAGACAAATACTGAGATTCTTTTGTACAGGTTGGGAGAAAGGAGGGTCAGATATTAATACAACAAAAGAAATCGGGATACTTACCTAGGAAATAAAAATGTAACCACAGCCATCCAAAGACGGAGAACAGACACGTTTAGTTTCTCATTGAGCACCCTATAAGCTTTGAGTTTTTTGATCATTTGTATGTAGACTTCAGAGATAGCTCAGTGACCAACCAAGGCCTGAATGTGAATATTCTCTTTTTGGACTTCCAGTAAACTTGATTGAAATTCTAAACTTTAGAGCAACCTTTTGCAATGCATTTGAGTCATTATTGAGCACTAGTTGAGAGAGTAAGAACTTAGAGCTGAAAGAGTTCAGTAATGAGTCTACAGCTGAAGATCATATCCTTCAACAAAATTCAGGCCAGAGTGCACTTCAACAACCACAGATTCCAGTTTTGCTCAGGAAAGGCTGCCACATCGGCTCGTATACAAAACAAACGTGGTGGTTCCTCTGTGGAAAGGAATGCCAAAAAGAACTTAACAATGGACAATCATCGATCTCCAGATTCCGTAATTTGGGCATGTCATCTAAGAAGTCCAGATGCTGTAGCCGTTTGCACTTCACTAGTCCAATTTTATCATGTTTACTAATAAAAACTCGAAAAAGCTCACTGATACAAGAAACTTAAAATCAAAATACACTTAAATCAATGGTTTGAAAATAATCAAGTTGATTATCAAAGTAACCTAAATCCACTTCCTTTTCCTTTTCACATACCCAAAAAAGCACCATAGTTAACACAACTGCAAATCATCACCTTTGACGTTTCGTCATAGGAATCAAAGATCAGCTCATCGAATCAATCTAAGAGTGAAATGGCATTCTGAAGTGTGAGTAAATAAGTGCTAAAAGTTTAAACTGTTTGGTGGAGACAAAAATTTCTGTTTATAAGAAGAGGCAGGTGTAGCATGTACACTGTGCAGGNTGCTCACGATCACGCAGGATCCGAAGAAGGGCCGCACCCTATAAGAAATGCAATTTCCCTTCCCAATCATGACACTAAATCACATCTAAGAGAAGTCTTTACCAGTCTACCATTTTGACAAAGTCCATGCTGTTGTTTCAACCATGAATCTGAAACACAGGAAATGATAAAAAGTTAGTTTTGGCAAACATTTCATTCTAGGAGAATGGAGAAGCAGATCATTACAAGTGGCAACCGAAAAAAAGACGCTATAGGAGAAGCAAGACCTGTTAAGATGAACAGATACTGCTAAGGGCGTTTTAAGAGCCAATAAAGCACTCTTTGCTGTAAGATTCATGATGTAGCAGTCTTTTTTTTTTAATTGTTAATTCATGGAATAGCTGTCTTTTGTAACTTTCTTTGTTGAAATCCTTCGATCATGAAGGTTTTAACGAAAGGAGAAATTATAGTAACAACAAGCATTTGCCATACATATATAGTTCTACTGTCTAAAGCATGAAAAAAAATCCAACATAAAGATTATTCTTTTATGAGTATATTAAGAAATTTTATATGGATTTCTACAACATATGAGACTTGGGATTGTTCCTTGAGAAAGGTAAAAGAGATAGGTAAGGAGGATGATTTTAAAGCAGCATTTAGGGTAAAAAAGAAGAACTATTTCAGAGAAAAAAGTATTGATCTAAAGCCACCATTTGCAATCTTTTATGAACAAAAACTTACCTTGAATTTGAGCTTTGTGCCATCATAGTCTCCAAAGGCACCACTGTGCATAATCTTCCAATCTGTGCCCTGAAAATTAAATAGGAAAAAGGAAATACTGTTGAAGACAGTCGGCAAAATATGGAGAAGTCTCTACTATCAATGGAAATCACAAGTCGGTCCAAAATGAAAGTTGTCTTGCATCCAAGAATTCCATGTCACCGTTTTCAAGTGACAAGAGGGTCATTTTTTCCCTATCTACATTTCTCCTTCTCTTATGCAGAAGAAACTGACTATACCAGTCATGACATCTAAATATAGCACCATCAGTGACAATTTATTTGAGCTGCAACTCATGAATAGCTCATAAACAGATTTCAATGGCACCAACCAACCATACCCTTTATTATCTTCCCCATACCACTTGAATAGATAGACTAAATACTGAGATTCTTCTTTTGTACAGGTTGAGAGAGAGGAGGGTCAGACTAAATGATAAACTGAAGAAGTAAATAATTTATCTGGTCCAAATGCCAATACTCATTTATAAGCTTTAAAATGCTACACGGATTATCTGTGCATAAAATAACTTCAAAAACAAGCTAATTTCCTATTACAAGGAATAAAAGCAGTTGCCTAAACAAAAAGAGAAAAGATAGAAAAGAAAACCAATGACCCAAAAACAAAAAGAGGTTTTTATTTTGCGACAAGCAGTTGAAGTATCACGTGAGGACATATTCATCATTTGATGCATTCTTTAGCAGAAATACTTAAAATAGGAGGGAGACAAGTATGCATATATGGAGCTCTTTGAACCATAAAGAGACGAGATTGTTCCTTTCATTTGAGAGATTCTACAAGGCAAAGATTCTGTCCTCAACAAAATTCAGACCAGAGCGCACCACAAATTAGACAACTCACCACAGATTCCATGCTCAGGAGAGACTGCTGCAGCAACCTTTTAGCATGATATTTGATCTAGTCAACTATGAGAAAGAGCATAAATTTTCATAATTAAACCGCAACTTTAAAGAAATATAGATATTCTTTGTTTGATGAAGAATTTGAAGAACGACAATTGGTCCGAACTGGTCCAACAGTTTAAAGAAGAAGAATGCTGAAGGGAAAGCACAGATCCAATTCACTGATAATTTTGCATTTTGCTTGATGTCAACTAATTACAAGAAAAATGCTTGATTTCTTTTTGGAAAAAAATTTGACAAGGAAGAAAAAGGATTGATTTTTTTTATTTTTTTTATACGGAAGAAAAGGATTGAAGTAAGGTAACACTGGTCTGGAAATGTAGATATTCCTGATTTGATGAAAGAGTTAGAAGAACAACAATTGGTTTCAAGTGAGAGGGCAAAATGCTGAAAGGAAAGCACAAATGCAATTCACTAATAACTTTTGCATTTTTTTTGATGTCAAATATTTGTAAGAAAAAGGATTAAATTCTGGAATGCTTTGGGGAATGAATAGTTTTAAAAAGAATAAAGGAGCAAAGGAGAATGGTGAGAGAAACAATTGACAAAGAAGAAGAAAAATTGACTCAGAAACTGAAAGAAAAACAGAAACTTACGTAAGTTCTGACTGGCCCTCTTCCTACTAAAGATAATTTTTGGAATATGGGAAATATTGGACCATTGGGAGTTTGGGCCACTCCGATTGGTGCAACTTTCTTCTAACTGTGGGCAGCCTTCAATTCTCAGGCGCCATAATTTGGTGAGGCGTCGCATGTCATCTCCGGATGGCAGATGCTGTAGTTTTTTGCAGTTTGATAAATATAACTCTTCCAAAGAAACAAGGTTGACGAGCCGACCCGACAGAGCTTCTAACAATGGACAATTACTGATCTTCAGTTTCCGTAATTTGGGCATGACACCTGAGAAGTCCACATGTTGTAGCCGTTCGCAGCTCCGTAGTGTTAACATTTCAAGAGAAGTAAGGTTGTCAAGACTACGAGGAAGGGACTGGATTCCGAAATTACTTATTACCATCTCTGTTAGGGCAGAGAGTTGCATAAGCTGATAGGGCAGAGAATCCCACTTCACACGTCCGTACACCGTCAATGTACGAAGGGACGATAGCTGCTGAATGCCATTAAACATCAATTGGAATGCCTCGAAATCCACCAACTCTGACAAAGGACCAATAAACAATGCCCTTAACCCAGTGAGATGATGAAGATCCCCTGCGGGTACACTATTCAATTTGGAACACTGTAATATATTTAAATATGAAAGTAAAGGCATTTCCCACAAATGTAAAGGCAAGGAAACTAAGTTGCCACAGTAGTTGACCCGCAAAAATTCCAGAGACCGACAATGCTCTAGCATTCCACTTGGTAAACTGGTCAATCTATCACAACCCTCAAACTGAAGATTTCGGAGGGAAGTCAAATGATTCTCTCCACTGGGAACAGGAACGGAACTGAAATTGGTGCACCCTTCAATCTCTAAGCTCTTAAGAGAATGGAGATTGTACAAACTTTGTGGCAATTCACGAAACACATAGCAATTTAAGACCGATAGATGCTGAAGAGAAAAACTGTTGTTGTGTAACATCTCATCTGGAAGACAAGTGAGCTCTTTCACATTACGGACAGTAAGCTTTACGAGAGATGTCAAGTTGCTGCACAAGCTAAACAATGGCATTTCACTGTGAACTCCTTCAATGCTTAATTCACGTAGGACTTCAAATTGATTTGGAGTACTTTTTAACCGTTGAAAGTTGCTAATGCTCAACTTCTCAAGCGCAGGAAACATTCTTACTCCAACTCTTGTTGGCATCAATTCTACTCCCTTCCACTCAGTGAGGCTAGGCATATCCTCCAATACTAGCTCTTTAAGTGATGGGAACACTTGGATATTGGCGTTATTGCTGCTTGATCCATTATTGTTAAGCTCAACACCATAAAATGTAGGCCCAATGCATTCCAGCTGATCGAACTCTGCCAGCTCGAGATGCCGAAGGAGTTTCAGTTGGCCAAGTGATGGAATTTCTATGCACTTTCTGCAACCAATTAATTTCAACTTGACCAAATTTGGTAGAAATTCTTCATTGAACAATGAAGGAAATCTACTCCCCAAATAACTCCTCACTTCAAAGGATTTCAAGTTAGGATGCGGTCGAAGACCATCCAAAACATACTCATCACTGATTTCACATCCACGATGGGACCATAAATATGCCAGCTTGTAGATATTTGGTTTCTCTTGTAGGTATGCTCTTTCAGCTTCTTCTCTATTACGGACCAAATGTAGACCCTTGATCGTCAATTTACCTCTAAGGTTTTTCAAATGACCTAATTCTTCTATTCGGCGACCTTTCTCTACACCCACATTGAAATGCTGTAGCGTTTGAAGACAAGTCAATTTCCCTATGTTAAGTATCTGAGAGCGATTAGAGTTGTAATATATATGTCGCAAACTTATCATGTGTTCCATCTCATATGGAAATCCCTTGAGGCCATAGCAGTCATTGACTCTAAGTGTTTGCAAATTGTAGAGCTTGCAAATGGAGTTGGGCAAGGCTTTGATCTTAGTGTCGGAGAGATCGAGATATCTCAAGTATATTAGCTTGCCTATTGAGGCTGACAACTCCTTGATGCCTGACTTGGACAAATTTAAAACTCTCAAGAACTGAAATCTCAATAGCATATCTTCAGACATATCACTGCTTTTCCAGAACAACGTGCATAAACGTCCAGGCTCATTAATCTTCTCTATTTGATCTCTTGGTGAGTTCCATCCAAAGTATCGAACTTGAGAAAGATTATCTCCACCATCCGTCTTCGCATCAAATAGTTTAGATTTTAAAATATCTTTAGCCAAATCATGCACAAGATCATGCATCTTACAATGTGTTATATTGTTGTGCTCATCTAGCTTAACATCTTGCAGCAAGGAATTTTGCAACAAAAGTTCAAAAAACTTGTTACCAGCATCTTCCATCACAGTGGTCTTTTGACATGGACGAAGAAAACCTTCTGCCATCCAGAGTTGGATTAGTTGGTCCTTTTCAAACTCAATTTTTTTTGGAAACATTGCAAAGTAAGCAAAACATTTTTTCAAATGTGGAAATGGTAGATAATCATAGCTGAGTTTTAGGATTTTCTTTATCCTATTTTCCCCAGTATCATCTTCACCTGCAACAAGGGGGTTGCCATCAAGAATTGTCTGCCATTCATGTTTCTCCTTATTGCGTAATAGGCCTCCCAACACACTTGCTGCCAATGGTAGACCTTTACACATTTCAACAATCCTGTTGCCCAACAAATGCTCTGTAACCTTCCCATCAACAAATGCTCTTTGTTTGAAAATGGACCAACAATGATTATCTGCTAATATTTCCAACATATAAGGATCTGTTGCGCCTACTGAGGATGCCACCTCATCCCTACGAGTAGTCACGAGAATGCAGTTTCCTCTGGATGTATTTATTCCTCTCAGAGTGTCCCCAAACTCATGCCACATTGTAGGGTCGACACGCCACAAATCATCCAGGACAAGCAAATACTTCTTCCCTCTCAATTCATCTTGTAGCTTCTTGACTATTATATCCCTGCTTCGGACCTCAAGTGTCCTTTCTGTCAATGATTCGAGCATCAATTCAAGAAAGCTCTTAGTTTCTAACATTTCAGGTAGACACAACCAAACTCTCTTTTCAAACTGTTGCTTGATCTGTTCATCATTAAAAATTATCTTAGCGACAGTTGTTTTGCCTGAACCTCCCATACCGACTATGGGAATGGTGCACAGAACAACATCCTCTCTCATGTTCAACATCTTCTCCTTTATTTCAGCAACATCCTTGTCTCTACCAACAACATCAGAAGCAACTACCACAGAATCTGTTTCTCGAATTGGTAGTATTTGCCGAGAAGGACCTGTTGGGGGTTGGAGACCGAGGTCTTTGGCTAACTTATTGATAGCACTCAACTCTTCATTGATGTTGTTGATTTTTCGAGACATTTTGCACTGTAAAACTGTATTAGAAACGAAGTTACAGACCTTTTTCATCGGTTTGTTCCGGATCTTCATCACTTCTGCTTTGAGAGATTCATATCTGAATTCGTCAAACACATTTTCAGCATCTTCAGCAACTCTCTCAAGCCTCTTGAGCCATTCTTCCACAGTCTGATCCTCAACTTGTCGTTTTTCAGCATCATGAATGAAAGCTTGTATCATCGTTACAGTTTTTTTCAGCATTTTGAGATCATTCTTGCAGTTCCTTAAACTTTTGACTTCCTCAATAGTGAGAGAAAGCAGCTTCTCAAGAAAAACTTGAACAGTAGCACCAATTACTGGATCCGCCATTGTTGCTTTGCTCTTTCACAAAGTTTTCTTCCTCTATACCAAAGCCTTCACAAAGTTATTCTGAAATCTGCTTTGCTAGTTGCTTGTAAACCACTCAAATAAAGATACTCCAATATAATTCATAGGCAATAATTCAAACAGTTTTTGTAGCAAAGGTTAACACTTTATTTATTTTAAATAAATATCATTTAAATATGGTTAACTTCTAACCCTAAGCCATTAAATACCCTAATCAGTTACAATTTTTTATTTCTCTCTCTACTTTCTACTTTGATACATCTCATTCTCTTCTCTCGTCCCATTAAAATTTTCGATCTCCTCCTCCTTCCACCGAATTTGTGCAAAGTCCACATAAGAGATGCTGGTTTCGAATTGTAAATCTAGGTTTTTGTTTAAAGATTCAGTACGTCAATTTCCAGTTATTTCAAGAAAGAAAAAAGAGGAAAGAGTTGGTTAAAGCGCCAAAATTTTGAAAGAAGAAAGCTTTTATATATTTGCTCCCTCTGAGCATCTTCCTCTGAATTTCCCCATGGATTGCTGGGGTTCTTCTTGTTCACTGCATCGGCTATGCATAACTGTAGATAAAAAAAATCTGGGAAAAAAATCTAATAATTTAAAGGAATTTTATTGCCAAACAACTCAGAGCGAAATTTCCACGAAGGCGGCGCGTTTTCACTACCGGCTTCCGGTGAACGGCGGATTCGTCGGAAATTAGGGTTTGTTTTTTAACAAAGACGATGGAGTTTGGGGCTGAGCAACTTGATTTTCTGTTAATATATTTCAATGTATTTTCATGTATTTCATTGTATTCATTGTCTTTTTTTCCATTGTAATTCAATATATCTCGTTGTATTCCATGTATTTCATTGTATTCACTGTCTTTTTTTCTCATTGTATTTCAATGTATCCCGTTGTATTCTATGTATTTAATTGTATTCACTATCTCGATATATGCCATGAATATATTCATAAGTTTTTTTAATTAATATAATTTATGTATTCAAATGTATTATATAATTTCTCTGAAGATTGCTATATTTTTTGGGGTATTTTTCAGTTGAGAATCTTTTTTATAACTGAAAATACAAAATTTGTGTGTTATAATTGAGTTTGTTGAGTTATATTAGGAGTCTATTATGCTAATTGATTCACTTTCCGTTTTAAAAACAGTGTAATCCCCTATTTCACGCCGTGAATACAGTCGAATACAATAATTTGTCCAGCTGTAATCTCATGTTTTACTCCATAAATACAGTCAAATACACTCGAATACAACAACTGATTAGTTGGACTTCCCTGATTCACGCTTATTTTTGCTACTATATTCATGAATACAATAGCTTAAATATATCAAATACATCGCACAACCACATAAAAGGTATCTATAATCCGTAATATAGTAAATGGTATCTATAAATGGCTAATTACTATTAAAAGATAGTGATTTATGAAAATTTAAACCTAGCCCAAAATTTACCTGGCTAATATAGGCTGGGTCAAAATTAACCAAACTATCGGTCATAGCTTAACCCGTCCAACTTAACCCAACTTTCTATTCTTTATTTTTGAAGATATCTGTCGTAAACATTCTCAATCAATTTTTTTTTAAATAAGTCTTCAAAGTGTAAGATGTATATATATTATGTAATATGTACATATGCTGTGTACTTTTTTGTACCAGTGGAGTATTATGAAATAAATTTTATAATAACTCTAGTTTTCTTTATGTCATTTTATGTCCAAAATTTTGCTTCAATTTTTTGAATATATAAATTTTATTTTTAATGACTATTAGTAAAAGGAAAGAAAAACAAATGTTTACTGCTACTACTTAATAGTTGTTTGAAAAATCATACTCGACTATATTAAAATTATATTTTCACATTTACTTGTCTATTATACTAAATCAAGATAAAGACAATTTTTTTTTCTGTTGTACCCTTATCATTTACTACTCATCCCCAAATTATTTTTCAGACTTTTGGAAATGCTATCATTATTATGAGTAAAATTATAAATTACATACTTCATTTAATTTTTCTTAAAGAGAGTACAAAATCAAAAGTGGACAGCTCAAAGTGAATGGAGGGAGTAAAACTTTACTCATCTGGTCCATAATAAAATATTTATACCAAAACCACCTACTCAAAAAATAAAAAATAAAGTAAAAAAAAAAAAGGAAAAGGATGAAATGCAAATCGAGAAAAAGAAAAAGAAAGATGAATTGGAAAACAAAGCTGACCAAAACTATAAAAGTTATACACAGGTCGTTTAGACCTTTACTCAAAGTTTTCATCTTTTACGCTTTATTTCATATTACTGTTGTCTTTTAGAATTTTTTTTGTTTCTCATTCGGTATTCGGTACCCGCATTAGAGCCCGACTATATTCGGATTCGCACTGCATAGGCCCCATTCGGAGAAAGCGCTTCCATCCAAGGGTCTTTTAGAATACTTGGATCGCTTCTTTCAACAATTATTACTCTTAAAGATAGAGAAATTTTCATAAAACACTATCTTTTAGTAGTAATTAGCTATCTATAAATATCATTTACTGAATTACGGATTATAGATATCATTTGGTATATTTCGGTCATACAATTTCCAAAGGAAAAGTTGCAGAAATTGTGAATTTGCTCGTTAAATAGGATGTTGTAGTCACGGGGTTATGTTTGGGCTGTGTCACGGGTCAACTTGAGCTACTGGCTTAATGGTGGGTCAACTTGGGCATTGCCCATCTTAGCCCATCAATAAAATAGATTTGGTCAACCCATTAAATTTTGGATGGGTTGGACGGATCAAATGAGTTTGTGCTCAAATTATCACCCCATATATTGACAATAAATGTTTACAAGAAAATTTTGAAATTCTCCGATTTCATTTTAAATAGGTAACCACCAAGAAACAACCTTAAGACTTTTATATTATACATCATGCGTCAAATATTGATTTTTACCTGAAAAATACCCCCTATGTCCCAATTTAAGTGCTGAGTTTGAATTTCAAAAGTCAATTTCTTAATTTTGACTGTAAATTAAGACATAAAATCTTTAAATTTTTGGAAACAAAATATATACATTTGAAAACTACGTAAAAGTATTATAAGTTACAATAATTAACAATTCAAAATATCTAAAAGACATATGAAAAAATTACAGCCAAATATAAACTTGTTTGACTCTCGAAATACAAACTTCGTCACATAAATTGGGACGGAGGGAGTAATATATTGAGGCATTAATGGGTAGAACTTTACATTTTCATTCATTGTGTACATCTTAGATTTTGGTTATGGACAATACTATATAACTATTTACATCTGTGGACAATGCCTAGTCGCCAGTGAATTAAGGAAGATACAATGTGCAATTTGGAGAAATATGGAGCTTAAATATTAATTTGCCAATATTACAATCCTATATTTTAAGGGGTTGTTTGTTTGAAGGGATAAGATAATAATCCCCAGATAAAATGTGGGATTATGTTATATTATGTTTGGTTAAAACTTTTGGCTACGGTATAAGTACTTGACATTATTTATATTATATATATATATATAGTAACTATTTATATATAATCCCTTTATTACATCCAAATGAAACGTTGAAGTAATCATACGACTATAAATGGAAAGATGATGGACTAGTTGACTCAAGAAATAGGACAATTTACCAAATTTCCAGTTTATAAAACTTAATTTAAAAGTTTAGAGGACGTTTGATTTGAAATATAGAAAGAAACAATCATGGGATAAAAGTTATATTAGTTATCTAATGTTTGGTTTATGTTTTCTATTCATGAATAGCTATTACTTATATAAAGTTATATATCAATTTTAATATTGTCTTATACCTCCGGCTACATGGAATAATAAGGCATGAATAACTTATATATATAAAACATCCAAAAGGACAAAACTACCCTTATCTTTTTGCTAGATTGTTAGGGTATAAACGTAAACTCATTTTTTAGTTTATAGAATAACACATATTTTAATTTAAATAGTATTTTATGTATCTAATGTATAGTACAATACCAAACACCTAACAAAACTAGCGAAAGTAAAGCTATGCACGGGCCCAAGCTTAAATGAATAAATTGACATAAATCAAGCTAATCTATGATTTGACTTTATATTCCATAGATTAGGTATGATCAACAAATTTTATATTAATTTAAGATATGATCATGAGGAAAGTCAGGTTAATATCAATGTGACATATTCCTTTTTTTCTTTTATAATTTTGCAATAGAGTTGTGGAATTATGAAGTTAATATATAAGTGTGGCAAGGGGAAAATGGATAAGTACCCCCTGATCTATACCCGGAATTCCAACTACATATTTTTTCTTTGCGGGAATCCTATTACCCCCCTACAGACCAGTTCCTAAAAGATTGATGATTGATGTCCTAGTTGAGTTGTAACCTTGTTATTGTACTTACCATATCTCCTAAATCGCTTATCTAGAAGCATACTGATTAGGAATCCTCTTGTAAATCCGTAAACTCGTTGAGTTTATGTTGTGACTAGATTTAGTCATAAGAAAAGTCTTTGTAATCGTAGTTATTACAAAGTGGCCGCTTGTGGTGATAGCATCACAAGTTAGAAAAAGCCTCTGTAACTAGGATAGTCACAAAGTGACTTGTGGTAAAGGTACCACAAGTTAGTTGAGTAAATTATTTGCAATAGGAAGTATTGTAAAGTGGCTTGTAATAGGTAAGATTACAAGTTAGTGAAGTTAAAACCTACAAGGTAGGTCGTGGTTTTTTGATCCCCTTGTGTGGGATTTTTCCACGTAAAAATCCTCTACGTCATTTACTTACTGCTTTACTAAGTGCTCTCAGAAGAATCTTGTAGAGGACCAGATACTCTACGATTTGGTGGATCCATACAATCTAACATACTCAATATTAATTTATACAATATTTGATTGTTACTTTTATTTTTTTTCATAGATAACATGTATATGTTAGGCAAGAACTAAAGTTAACCCTTATGATTGTAACAAACTTTAAACATATATATTACTCCATACATTAAATACAAATTTATAATATGCCAAATTAAACATTCCACATGAAATAATTTGTGTACTATAATCCTTCATCACTATATTATAATACCTTGCATTATTAATTTTTAGAGGTTGTTTGGTAGGAGGTATTAGAAAGCATAATGTAAACATTAGCTTTGCGTATTATTAATTCCTTATTTGGTATATTTTTTCAATTTGCGTATTACTAATATTTATATTAGTTATACATTCTATGCGGTATTATCCTAGGTATAACTAACACATAGTAAATCATGATATTAGCAATGCAAGGATTTTTAATACTTGCATAAACATAGTAAAGACATAATTGCCCCTCAAATCCCTCAAAACCTATTCCAAATACTTTCCACCATATTTTGTAGGGAGAATTACACTCCTTATCACTTGGCTCAATAGCCCATCAAAAAATAGCCCACGTTTGAAGCCCTTACCCAGTATGACTCAAGTTGTATATAATGTAAAAATTATTTTTCACCCATTAGAAAAAAATAATACATAAAAGAAGTAGTTTTTTGGAGTCATGAAATCACTTCCTTCGATGGAGTGGAAAGAACTGTGTTTGCACTAAAGAGATTCACTTGGTTGGTTGTTGGATCACCAAACTAGAAAGAAGGTATTGGCATGGTCTCAGTCTTATCCTCATTCCATGCATAATTCTAA